TTTCGGAAATTAAAAAATGGACCTCCGGCAGTCGATCGCCGTCCAAACCGACTTCTCCTCGTGGCTCATGAAGCAACTCATCTCCACCCGCGTCAAGGACAACAACTTCGTATTCTCGCCCCTCTCAATTCATGTTGTGCTGGCCATGGTAGCGGTGGGGTCGGGGCCCCCTGCACGCGACCAGCTCCTGCGCTACCTCATGTTCGATTCGATCGAGGAGCTCAATTCCCTATCGTCGCAGATCGCCACACGGCTGCTAGCCGACGGCGGGCCGCTCGGCGGCCCTCTCCTGTCCATCGCCAACGGGGTTTGGGTCGAACGCAGCCTTGCGCTGAAGCCTGCTTTCATAGAAACCATCGAGAATGCTTACGGAGCGCATTAGGTCATGTCGATTTTCGGAATCAGGTTAAGTTTCGTAACTTCGCACCACTTGGATTTAAGATTTGCGATTAACGATAGCACAATTGATTTCATCATATTCTGTGTTTAGCAATAATGTGTCCCTATGGTGTTTCTGGTAGTGCAGTGCCGTCTTGTGTTGTGCTCACCGTGTCCATATGTACCAACTCTTTCATTAATTTGATTTTCTATGAAACTTTTTTTCAGTCTAATGTGGCAAGAGAAGCATTGAATGCTTGGGCCGAGGAGAAAACCAATGGTGTGATAAAAAAATTTGCTCTCACCTGGCTCAGTCACTAGCAAGACTATGCTCATCCTTGCAAATGCACTCTACTTTAAAGGAGCATGGTGTAATAAGGGAGGAGACAAGTGGTGTTGTGCTCTTTGTTGGGCAAGTTGTGAATCCTCTGCTGTCTGTCTGACTTCATAATATGAAGCCTGATTTTGGTAGACTCTCATTTTTTTCATTATGCTTAGTTATGTGTTTAGGTTTTGTTATAATTGCATTTTGAACCTTCAGTCGATTTGTAAATGCTTCAGTTGAATTAATTTCAGCTTTCTGGTCTTTGAAACCGTGTAATTAGTATTAGAAATTTAAAAATTTATATGGGAAAGTAAAAAAAAAAAAAAATCAAGAGAC